GCCCTGCCTTTCTGGCGACAGAGGCTGAGGTCCAGGTCACTTCAAGTGTCAGCTTCTATTCCTAGAATGGACAGCCCTCGGCTCTGGGAGACTTTACCATGCTGTGTACAGGTGGCCGAGACTGGCGAGGAGAGGGATGGGAAAAGTGAAGGGGTTGGTGGGGGAGGGTGTAGAGAGACAGGGAAAGGAGGGCAGGGGACACAGGACTCTTCCAGGAGGAGAGAAGCCCAGCCCTGGGCAGACCCTGGGGGTGAGGGTGGGGCAGTCTGAGAATCATAACGAGGGCGCCAACTGGTCACTTGACTGTGAGCCTCTCTGGACCTCAGACTTCCTACCTGTGGCATGGGGAGGCCCCTGACTGTCCCCTCCTTTCTCCCAAGGATGGCAGGGGCCTAGGAAAAGACTCTAGACATCTAGAGGAACACTTGGCATCCCTTCAAGGGGAGAGGAATGGGAACACCTTAGGATATAGAGAGGGTTTGAGGAGGCCCAGTCTGGTTTTGGGGCTGGGCAAGAGAGGGAGAAAGAGTTCTTTCTCGAGCCTGGACCTTCCCCTCCCCACCTCCCTGCCCTGCCAAGTCTCTCCTAAAAGCCAGCATCCCTCAAGAAGTCTGACTAAATGAGGCTCTTAAGCCAGTGGGCATCAACAGTACTTCCTTTTCATTGATGGATATGAAAACTGTAGCTGAAAGTTTAAGGACACACAGGATAAGTTGCATAGTCTCCAAGTATCTTCCTCAAAGTATTTATTAGTTTCGGTGAGAAAAACAATAACATTATGGTAGAGAAATCTAGCAAACCCCACCTTAGCCAATGAACAAGGTCAAAGTCACGGGCCCTGAGACACATCAGTACATGTGAGATGACTGAGATGATGCACAGAAGCAGGTACAAGGACGCTTCTGTGGTTGTCCTGCCAAAGTGCATAGCCTCAATCTGATGCTGAGAAAATCTCAGAAAAGCCCAAACTGAGGGATATTTTAGAAAATAACTGACCAGTGCTCTTCAAAAGGGTCAAGGTCTTAAAAAACAAGGAAAGACTGAGCGGCTGTCACTGACTGCAGAAGGCATGACAACCAGTGGGGTAGAATCCTGGATTGGATCCTGCAACAGAAAAGGCTCACTAGTGGAAAAACAGATGAAATTTCAAGTCAAGTCTATAGTTAATTACCAGTATTGGGTCAATGTTAATTTATTGGTTTTGATCATTGTACAATGTTTCTGTGATATGTTCATATTAGGGGAAGCTGAGTTGAAGGCTACACATAAACTCCGTACAATTTTTGCAACTTTTTCTGAAAGGCTAAAATTATTTCAAAATAAAATGTTAAAAAAGAAGAGAGAGAGAGAGCTCTTTCCCAGAGCAGTTGTCTTTTGTGAAGGAAATGGGGTGATGGGGGGAATGGATTGGAGACCTGAGAATCCTGTGCTTCCTAGCTGACCCTTTTTAAAAAAATTAAAATTTTTTTTGTTAGTGGAGGTAATGGGGATTAAACCCAGTACCTCATGCATGCTAAGCACATGCTCTGCCATTGGGCTATACCCCTAGCCCTCTGGCACTCTTATACGTTGAACTAAAAGCGACTCCCAGAAGTCTTCCAGATTTGTCCTGCTCACATCTTATCACAACGATCTCTTCAATAAATTTTCACCACTGCTTCTGCAGCGTGGGTTGTTATGGGTCTGTTCTATGGTGTAGTGGGTTGAATAGTGTCCCTTGCAAATTCATGTCCACCTGGAACCTCAGAAAGTGACTTTATTTGGAAATAGGGTCTTTGCAGATGTCATGATGGGAAGGATCCAATGGCGATCATACTGGATTGGGGTGGGCACTAAATCCAGTGAGCATCCTTATAATAGACAGAGACACACAAAGATGATGGTCATGTGAAGACAGAGAGACTGGAGTTTTGTTGCCACAAACCAAGGCACACAAGGAGCTGCCAAGCTGGGAGAGGCAAGGAGAGGTTCTCCTCCAGC